TATAAAATTTTAGATATAAAAGTAATTTTTAGTGTAACACTCCTATAATAAATAAAAAATTAATATTTGATTCCGTTAATTTTTACTTTTGTATCATATCAAATAACCGTTTCAATTCAAAACCTAAACTCAAAATTTAAAACCCATAAACAAACACACTTTGTATATTTTACCTTTGGAACAATTTTAAAAATGTATAATTTGAATAGTATTTTATCCTTATTTTTCTTTATTTAAAATAATTTTATAAATCATATTTTAAATATAAAAAATTACATAAATAAAAGAACTTAAAAAATAAAATAAAGTTAAATTAAAAATAGTATTCTTTCTGTAATTAAAATTTATACTAAAATATTTAAATACGAATTTTAATAAAAATAGAAATTAATAAATTTTTTTGCATTATATAGTAAATATATGCAAAACTAATACTATATTTTTATACTCCCTCCGTCCCAAATACCGTGTCTGCTACACCGTAGACACGGTATTTTAGGAGGGATGTAATTAGTAAATAATTAAGAATGTATTAGTGAAAATAATTATCTATAGTATAAATAATTATAAATTAAGATTAAGATAACTAATTAATTTAATTAAAATTAAAAAAAAATTAAAAAATTTAAAATAGATTAAAGTGTGTAATCATTTTCCAAAAAGGAAAGTGAAATGGTACGTGAGTAGGACAAAAATGGCAATATGGACATGGTATCTGGGACGGAAGGAGTATATTTTTATAACAATTTAAAAAAATCATAAATTTGAATTAAATATGGAGTGAATATTAAAGAAGACAATGGTAGCAGTACATAGCAGGAACAGCATCAACAGACAAGAGTTGATGGTGGGGAATGGAGAACATTCTTACCTGGATAGATAAATTATTTATAATAATAATAATAATAAATATTTTATCTGTCTAATAACAATTAATTTATTTATTTTAGTTTGTCTGTTATATATACAATTGCTATTTTTTTTTTATTTTAGTAAAATTTATTAAATTAAAATATATTTAATAAATATAAATTAATTTAATTAACTACATAACATATAATATCATAAATCATATATCTACTCAAAATTTATTTATTTTCATCTTTCTTCTAAAAATAAAATTAATTTATAGTAATTATAAATAAATAAAATATTTTTTTTATTTACTTGTATTATATAAAATTTTATTCGATATTCATATTATATATTCTAATTTTTTAATTATATATACTAAATAATAAAATTATATCATAATTTATCATTAGTAATTAATTAAATATTAATCTTTAAATATTGTAGTCTTCCGTCTGCCTTCAGGAATTACATTTATCTTTTATGTCATTATACTTAATATTAAAAATATTCTTATATTTGTAAAATATTTTGTACAAATATCATTCTACTAAAATTATAAAACACTGATAAAAATATTTTTACAATTTTTTTTAAAATTACATTATATTTTAATATAATAATTAATATTAAAAAATAAATATGCAAAAAATAAATGAAATCTATTACAGTGGAATATATATGTTGGTTATGGTTGATGCCTCTTGTTGTTGATTCATGCCTAAAAAGTAGAAAGTAGAAAGGAGGGAATTATGGGGAAAAGAACAGGGCCTAGGGTAGGGGGGTAGGGTAGGGGTAGGGTAGGAGGAGGGGGGTAGGGGGTAGGGGGTATAGGGGGGTAGGGTAGGGTTCCCATGAGTTTCACTTTTTCGGTTTGCGTTGTGTTCAGAATGTACGTACTAGTGCTACTTTAAAGTAGATTCTATCCCTCCACGCTACATTCATTTCATTTCAATTCCATCCTTCAATTATTTTTAATATACAATATTCCTTTCGTACCATGCGCATAATTTCTTTATATTTTATATAATTTGTTTTTTTAAAAAAAAAAAATTATTATATATTTTAATTTAATTTTAAATTTTATGATTTATAATTTATAATTTATGATTAATTATTTTTATTTTAATTTATAATTACTGGTATTATTTAATAATTATTTTTATTAATATAGTATTTTTTAATTATTTTACTTCGTCTGTCCCAGATAAATTGTTAATTTAGGTAAAATATAATTAAATAATTAAAAAATATATTAGTAAAAATAATTATAAATTAATATTAAAATAATTTAATACTCCCTCCATCACGTAGAAAAGTTGTCATTTACTTTTAGCATTTTTAATATTAGTATTATATTGAATTGTAGCTGAAAAAATAAAAATATTCCTATGTAATATAAAAGTAATGAGATTTGTGTATATAGTGTAAGTTGAAAAGATATTTATTATGTTAAGTAGGTAATATAATTACTAAATTTGAAAATAATAATCTTATTTTGAGACGGATAGAAATAGAAAATGACAACCTTTTAATGAGACGGTGGAAGTAATTTAATTAAAATTAAAAAATTATAAATTATGAAATTTAAAATATGATTAAAGTATATAATTATATTTATAAAAAAAATTAATTATATGAGACAACTAAAGTATGTTGGGTTGTTAATTTCAAACTATTGATTTAATTTTCTTATCTAAAAAATAAAGTAAAAACTATTTATAATTTTATTTAATTATTATTTAATCAATTTTAGTTTCATATGCCGTCTGAGTCATAAACATAGACATATGTTAAGTGAGAAGACATGAATATCTATAGTCTAAGTCTAAACCAATAATATTCAAATTATATTTATATATTTTAGAATATAATCAAACTTTATATTTTATACACAATACAATAACGGATGAAATACTATCTCCGTTTATTTTTTAAATGTTAATATTTGAATATTAATTATTATATCAAAACGTAGTACAAATCCATGAAAAATGACAAAAATAATTTTATTGGTGTCTTATAATACTAATGTAACGATATTTCTACAAAAAAATATTATACAAATATAAAGATATTTTTAATGTTAAAAATAATAACGCCAAATACAAATAGATAGGACGAATGTAGTAATATTTTTATAATCACTGTCTCATAATCGAATCTATTATGAAATATATACTAAGGTCGACATAACAAAAGACATAAATCTCTGTAATAACAAGTGTGGGTCACTCGTTATTAATATATTTGCTCTTTCGTATTACATACTGTAGGCATAATCGAATAAATACCTAAATTCAATTAATGATTATATATTTTAAGAGAAAATAGAATTCTAATAAACTAAAATTACGATATTAATTATGCATAAATATTAATTTTTGTACTATAAAAACCAATCATTAATCAAAAAAATATACTCAAAATAAAATATATATGTTAAATAAAATCATAATAAATTTGACAATAAAATAAATAAATCTAGTTGATAAAAAATCATTAATTGATATCACACGAAAAAATAAAAAACAATATAAAATATCTACAAAAAATGAATGATATAATACATCTCTTCAAAACAAAAAAAAAAAAGGAAAATGACATCTGATAAAAAAAACTAAAAGGTCATAAATCTCCTCATGACCCAATATGAATACAATATAAAAATTCATTAATTGATATTTGACAAAAAAAGAAACAATATAAAAATCTCGACTAAAATTGAATAATATAATTAAATCTCTTCAAAAAAAAAAATAATAAAAAAATGACATCCGATAAACAATGAAAAGTCATAAAGTCTTCCCGTAAATCAATCAGAATAAGCCATATGTCTTCATTCAAAAAGAAAATTATGACCACCCTCTCCTATAAATAGAAATTATAACCAAATAATTTAAGACGTTAAAGTTCATTAAAAAATTCAAACAAATTAGTAAGTCTTTAGTTTGTCTTTGGAACGTTCTCCATGTCTTTCGAGGTGTTCTTTATTAAAAAAATTTCGATTTGGATAAATGATCCAATATTAATTGACAAATTGATCAATTAAAGTTATTCGAACTACGGTCTGTTGAAATAATTCTTATTTTAGTTAAGTGGATACACATTAATTATTGAGTTAAATAATTGATTTTAAATCAAAACGTATTTCATAGCTCTATTCTAGAATTTCCTTATTTATGTTTTGTTCTATCCTTTAAATTGTAATTCATTTTGGTATAAGATCAGAGAGTGAATAAAATTACCAGTAATTGCCTCTTCCATTTTTTGTAGAAGTTCAAGGTCGCATGAGGATCAAACTTCAAGCCGGCGTCGAGTTCTTCAAGTTCATCTCAAAGTTTCAAGAAATTCTTTGCTTTCTTTATCAAATCGTCAATTTGGGCTTCTTTGATCTGAAAGTCTAAGGAGCACGCTACAAAAATATTATAAAGTACCAAAATCCGTCTCAATGAAGATCAAATCATCAAATCCAAAGTTGAAAATCAAATCCCCAAATCCGAAAAAATCAAATCAAATGTCAAATTCTTCTTCAAATCCGTCAAAGAAGCCAAATGAAATCAAATATTCAAATCCTTCAAAAAAGCTATTCCAATCAAATTGATGATCAAATCATGCCAGAAAGAGAATCAAATGACTGGTTTATAGATAATATGATCGGCTTTAAATTCAATTCAAATTAAATATAATTTGTTCAAAATTTTTGTTTATTAATTAGCACAAATTTTTGTCTACACATACTAAAACTATCACCAAACTATTTAGACACGAATGTTGTAAAAATAAGTAATAAATGTTATTTTATCTTATAAAAAATAAAACCTTTTGCAAAAAAATAATAAGAACATTTTTATTAGCATTTTTTTTAAAAAAAAAAAAAAAAACAGTAGGGCTCTCTTTGGGTTTCTACCCAAAAAAAACCACAAAGTTTTGGACTAGAAAAAAAAAAAGGATAAAAAAGGAAAACAATTTATAAATAATCAAAAGCTTCAAAAATTATGATCATCTCACAAATTAGTAATAATAGCAAAAAAAGTTTGAACGTTTGAAAGGACTTAGAGAACACCCTATAGTTAAAAAACAGTTCCAATATAAGTGTGTTGTCTTAAAATATGTTTACTGAAAGACATCCTTAAGTATTTTCCCGAAAATCATTTTATAAAATAAAGATATTATCATAAATTTGCTAAAAATAATACAATCTCTGGTTAAAAATGGATATTCATGAGCAAGCACCATATCCTAAGCAAGCTCCTATCCAATGCAAGCTCCTAAACCTTAACCTTAACATGAACATAACAAAATTTAGTGATACAATTGAACCTTTGGCGAACGACAACAATTGTTGTTTATCCTTGCTTTTCTTTCTGAGAGTCAACTTCCTTTGTAAGAAATCCGCGGAGTGTTTCTTGTATTGTATTAAGATGTACATACCTCATGTCATATTCTTAGCAAAGTATCGTTTGCAATTATTACATTGCACAATAACTGTCCCATCTTCGATTGTAACTCTCACATTTTTTGTCGAATTTTTTGTGCCACTAACTGCGAGATTATTGCAAAAAAATATCTCACATTTATATCCTTTTATCATTTTTGTCCTTTATTTATCTTGCTGGCAAAATATATCTCACGTGTTTACAAAAGTCACTATTTATGCGATCACGCGCGGCCAAATGATAGAAATAGCGACTTTTGCAAACATGTGAGATATATTTTGCAAGCGACATAAATACAGGACAAAAGTGATAATGGGGTATACATGTGAGATATTTTTTGCAATTTTCCCCACTAACTGCTTTTGCAGCTCATATGTTCCTGGAAATAACCAAAGAGACAAAGATCCATACAGTTGTTCATGTCCAAACAAATTATTTGCAAGAGCTCGGCAGTAATGAACAGTGTTAACGGGGGCATATCAATAATAAAAAGAAATAATAACTCAAAATATAAACCTAAATCCAAACCTTAAATGAACAAGATGATTTTTATTGTGAAGAAGAGGAAGGATTAATGTATTGCAGAAACAACATTCAGATTAGCCAAGACATGATATATCATTGATCTTAATTGCTAATCTTCAAACTTTAAAATTTTAATAGTGTCACAACTAAGGCTCTAGAATGTTCATTTGAAAACAATTGTTACATATAATTATGTAGAATTTTGTTCATCCTCGCTATATAATCTACAATATATTTACCATAATCCTAATATGCATTTGATAATCCAAAATGCTATGCACAATAATGTCCATGACATGCTAATGATTATTGAAAATTTCGATCATGGTCTTTATATTTAAAATGAAACCAATTTTGATCATACAAATTTGAAAAACAATCTATGACATGTGCAACATTGAATATAGTTCCTATGGTATAATAACATTTGAAATTATGCTTTACAAGCGATTCGTTGTAGTTAGTTGTAACGCAATTATTGAAAAAAATGATTTGCAAAGAGTGTTTATTACCTGACAGCTGCTGTAGGCATTATTTCATCACCTCGCGCCGGTATAACTGTATAAATCCATGATAATTCAGCCAAGTAAAATGTGATCTGCAATATTTGAGGAAAAATCAGTGGTATGGTATGGCTCTCGACAACTAAGCTCAAGTGCTACAAAGGCATTTTTTATCTAATAACATATATAAGATTAACGTATGAATAACTATCAAGGAGGCCATCAAAAACCATATTATGACTTTCTGCTTTAGCACAGTGAAGAACATTTTACCTGATACTCATCCCATCCATGGCAGATAATGCAACAGCTAGCTTAGAGAGGTATCCGTAACATCAGATTGTTACAAGACCATGAAAAGCCACCATCGAACTCGTGTTTGACTCCAAGAATCTTTTAAAAATGATCATCATTTAATTTGTTCATTTAGCAGTTGATTGCACAAGCAAGCCTAAGGCAATACAAAAATACCTCCTGGCCTGGGAGTTTAGCCGGCAGAAAGATGCACGCACCATTTGAATCCACGCTAGCTTCCACAGCATGATTTGTGATATATCTATAACAGAAACAGAGATTTCAGTATAACCAAATCACCTCCACGTGTTTGTGAGGATCTTGCTGCAACAACAATGGATTCCATCTTTGGTCAGCCGATGTTTTACCATTATCCAAGTCTTTTTGTGGTTCATGTATCGAACTTTTTCACTTAATTTTGCTGCTCCTGTGTCAATTAGCCAGGCAAATATTGTTCTTTAAGGCACATATCCTTCAAATTCAGAACTTTCATGGCGAACCAGGAGGGTGTATCTCTCTCCCAGTTACTTTACTAGTTATTCGACACTAGACTTGTAAGTATGTTTAGCAAATCTTCATATAGACCATACTCTGTCCTCTGCTTGTCAACAGACAGACAGACAGACCACAGTTTTCAGGTGATTTTGTGGCTGGATTTGTCGGCCCTCCAGACAAATCATCCTTATTGGCATCATCTTCAGAACTAACATCACCAATAGTCGTTACAGGAGCAAGAACCACCATTAAAATGGTGGAAACGAGTAGCATCTCTAACAACAAACTGGTGGCTAAAATATTTGCTTACGGATTTAATAAAAATGTGACAATCCACACATATCCTCAAGTTCTTGATCACTAAGATGTCAGCATTTGAATTACCCGTGTCTAATAGTGCAAATGAAATGGCTAATCTTTCACTGTGCACACCTGCTTTCGATGTAGTTTGATCTTCGTCCCCTCTCTGTTCTCTTGCCAAATCTTCTAACTTTGTCAGCATTGCGTATATCTCGTTCGTCTGAGGGTGATTTCTATCGCCAGCTACAAAGAGATGAATCCTCCCCTTATATTCGACATAGCTATACCCCGGATCCTTCCTCAATCCACGTTCTCTCATCATCACCCGAATCCTCAGTACCCCTTCAGCATTACCGGCTTCAGAGTAAATATTCGATAGCAAAACGTAATAACCTATATTCGTAGGTTCAAGCTCAACAACCTTGTTGAATGCCATCTCTGCCAAATGCACATTCTTGTGTATCTTGCAGGCACCCAACAGAGCTCCCCACACAGGCCCATCAGGCTTAAATGGGATCGATTCGACAACATTTCTAGCCTCCGCCAATCGACCTGTCCGACCCAAAAGATCCACGACACAAGAATAGTGCTCCGAGCCCGGCTTCAGATTATATTCCTTCTCCATTGAGTAAAAATAATTCAACCCCTTTTCAGTAAGCCCGGCGTGACTACATGCCGTCAAAACACACACAAAAACAGCCTTATCCGGCCGGATACCCTCCTCAATCATTCGATCAAAAAGCTCCACAGCCGTCTTTCCATCCCCGTGCATCCCGTAAGCGCCTATCATAGCTGTCCACGTTACCAAATTCTTCTCCGGCATTTCATCAAAAATAGCCCTTGCCCTCGCCAGGTTGCCGCACCTAGCGTACATATTGATCAGTGCATTCTTCAAAAATGGATTGAATCCAAACCCGTGAAGCTCGATCTTCTCCTCTACCTCAATACCAATTCTTTGTGCTCCGAGGTTTGCGCAAGCCGATAAGACACCAACAAATGTCACCTCATCGGGGTGTACGCCCCTACATTGCATATCCCTGTAAGTATCAAGAACATCCTTGCCAAGTCCATTCTGCGAGTACCCTGATATCATTGCATTCCAAGTGATCAAACTCTTTCCCGGAATCTCATCAAAGAACTCCTTTGCTAGCTCAACCGAACCACAACGCATGTACATCGACAAAAAGCAGTTTGCAACAGCCAAATCGACAATCAGACCGTATTTCAAAGACATGGAATGCAACGACATCCCCAAATCCAGCTGCTCCGGCGCAGAGCATCCTGGAACCAATCCCAAAACAGTGATCCTACTAAGCAATGCCCCTTCGATCCTCATTTGATTCAGAAAAAGCAACGCCTCTGATAGCCTTGTCTTTCGAACAAAACCCGATATCAAAGCATTGTAACAAACAGTCAGCCTATCTGACTCAGGAATTTCGTCGAACACATTGCGGGCATCCTCGACGAAGGAGAATCTACTGTACATAGTTATCAAAGCCGTCTGGACAAAGGGCTCCGAGCCGCAGCCGGACTTGATGACGTGGCAGTGGAGCTGCGCACCGGCCCCCGAGGGACGGGGGGGTAGGGCGGCGGAAGACTTTATGACAAACGGAAAGGTGAAGGCGTTTGGGTAGTCGCCATGGCGGAGCATTTGGCGGTAGAGCATAAGAGCTTGGGTGTATTGGCCTTGTTTTGATAGGACTCTGAGTTGGGTGTTCCATTTGCCGTCGACCGGCGGGTTCTGGTGGAGGAGGCGAGCTGACTGTCTGCATAGCCGGCGCATCGAATGAGTGTACAGTTGTGAAATGCTGCTCTCTTATACCGACCGTACGCTTTTAAAAAAATAGTCTAAGTCAACAACATTTTCAATACAGACATAACTTTTGTTTAGATAAAAGTTTGAAAAAGATAAAAGTTAAAAGTTAGTATTTAATTTGATATTTTGTGAAAATTATCCCTATTTTTTCATTATTATTATACAATTGTCACTATTTTTTATACTAATATACTCACAGTTGCAAAAAAAATTATTTATCCTTACTTTTTACCGACTACTAATATAATATCAATATTTTTTAAATTCCGTGTCCAATACAACAACAAAACTATACTTTTGAGATTGAGGGAGTATATAATATTTGGGTCATAGGAATTGCGTGGGAATTAGAATTGGGAATATCTTAAGGTGTGTTTGGAGCTGTTAGCTTCGATTAACTATTAGTTATTGGATATGTTTGACAATTAGGTGATTGATTTCATTAATTGGTTCGATTAGCTATTTTTATTAAAGAGTTTGGTAAATTAACGGTTTTGTATTACGTAAAATAATAATTAAGGATATTTTATATTTTATTTTCAAAATATAAAGTTAGTTTTTTCTGTTGGTAGATTTTTTTAGAATTTTATTATTAATTTTAAAAATTAGAAAAATTTTGTTAAGATATTTATTTTTATTATTTTATAAATAATTAATGCAAGCTTATTGAAAAATATATTTTTTTTTTCATTAGAAATTGTATAAATATAAAAAAACAAAAATTATTAGGCTGTGTTTGGCACTTAAGGTGTTAGCTGACTCAATTAGCGATTTGGTAAAGTAACTGTTTGACATAGTTGTTTACATAAAGACTATTAAAGACATTGATATGCTATTTTTTAAATATTTAATTTTGTTCATTTTGATTTGAAATTTATGAAAATTTTTGTTATTAATTATTGAAAATTATAAAAATATTATAAAATAGTTATTTTTATTTTTATTATTTAAATTTGAAAAAAAAAAATTTACTAAAAAATAATAATTTTTTTATTAAAATGATATAAAATATAAAATAATAAATCTTTTGGTATATATATTTTTATTATGTTAATTATTATTTTAATATATATAAATAAATTAATAACCTTTGTCTTTTCTATTTGATTTAATTTTAAAAGTTTATATATTTTATAAATAAAATAATTTATATATAATAATTAATAATATTAATTATTTTAAATTTTAAAACATAAAAATATAATTTAATAAATTAAATATATTAAAAATAATTAATAAATACTGCTATAAAAATATATTTATATGTATAAAATAAATAATTAAGTTTTAAGGATAAATAAGAAATAACCAAAATTTAAATGAAAATGTTCTTGCAAAACGCTAGGAGATGAGCTTTTCAGAAATTAGTTTTTTTTGTCCAAAAAGCTCTTTGAAAAAGCTAATTTACCAAACACCTAAATTAGCTTTTTGACTGGTCAAACAGCTCAAGTCTGTTCAATAAGCTTTCAAAAAGCTGTTTCCAAACACCCTCTTAGTATATGTATTTTTATTAGATTAATTTTTAATTAATATTTCTTTACATTAAACTTATAATATTAAATAATATAGTAGACTGTTTTTTTAGTCGGACCTATCATTTTAGTTTTGCGACTGAGGCTGTCTTGAAGTAGTTAAAAACTTTCTCAATTTAGTTCTCAATGCCTATGTGGCATCTGCATGGCAGGCTGGCGGACACGTGTCAGTCAGACGCCACGTGGATAATTATATTTTTTTAATAAAAAAATTAATAAAAAATAAAATTAAATATATGAAATACATAAAGAAAAATAAAAAATTTTAAATAAAATAAAATATAAAAATTATCTGCATGTCCGTCAGGTCAGCGCCACATGGTCGCGACGTGGATAATTTATATTTAGGAACTATGCAACCTCCTCTCCGTTTTCGCCGGTGAAGATTCACCTAAGGAACATGTTACGGAGGCAGGACCTGGGAAAAACAAGAAAAAAAAGATTTATTAGTAGCTAACCCGAGGGCAGCAGCGTCGACGAGAACCAGCTGTACGTGAAGCGGGAGAAGTGTTACTTTCGCACTCCTTACGCTGACATTAGCAGTAGCGCTAGTAAGGCCGACAAATACAAAGGGGCCTACAGCTCAATTTGTTTTCCAGTGATGGCAAGAATTCGCTTCGCCGAATGTCATGGCGAGCTCGGTTGTTGACCAACGGAAAGGATGGGATTATTTGGACGATATTTTAATTTTATTTTTATATTTGTAATTTTTATATTTTAAAAAAATAAAAATAAAAATAATCCATCTGGCAGATACGTGTCAGTCACTGACTTGGCCGATATGTGTCCATTGGCATGCCACACAAGTGGCACATAGACATTGAGGACTAAATTACGAAAATTTTCACTTACGAGATTATTTTAAGACAGTCTCTAATTACATGACTAAAATAATAAAGAAGTCTAGTTACGAGACTAAAAAATCAGTTTATTCTAAATATATATTTATTTTCAATGAAAATATTATGTAATAAAAATACGATATAAATGAATCAATAATATTAATATCTTTATATTATCTTTATTCTAACAAATTAAAAATATATATATAAATAAGACAATTGACATATAAAAAAAAACAATTATTTTAAATTTAGAAATATGAATTTATAAGTTATTAGAAGAAAATATATCCAAATAATTAATAAATAGTATAATAAAAAAAATACTAATATATGTTTAATAATTAATTAATTTTAAGGACAAATAAAAATAAGAAAAATTAAAAGGGAAAAGCTAATACAGTTTTTTCAAAAGTAGTTTTTTTTTACCAAATAAGCTAATTAATAACGCCAATTTATCAAACATCAAAATTAGTCGCACCAAAATTAGTTAAACAGCTAAAAATTCTTCTTAAAATAGTCTGTTTATGCTATTCGGTTTGACTCGTTAATGTTTCCGAAGAAGCTTTTAATCGAACAAAATCGAGCCGTGTTCACGAACGGTTCGAGTCATTTAACAGCTCTAAACGAATCGAAATAAAAAAAAAAATGAATTAATTATGTGAAACAAATGAAAATATTATATTTTGGGAATTATAATTTAAAAATAAGCTTGGGTGAAAAGACTAATCCATGTTCTGTTCTCTATACAATTAATTGTTGTAAATGTAATTTATTGTGTAATTTTCCCCAATTATGTTCATTTAGATAGTAATGCTGCTGTTTTTAAACATTAATCTAATTATAGTTTAATTAGAAGGTAATTAGTTAAATCTTGATTTTGTTTATGTAATTGTGGACAACAGAGTAATAATTATTGTGTTCTTAACTTGTTTTGTGTTAAAAAATTAATTTTAAATCAATTTTAAACCATAATCGAACAAATTATAAAGCAAAGAACCCCCAATATTAAATATATTTTTTTACAAAATATTAAATTAATTACTCAATTTTATGTAATATTTGTGAAAAAAATAAATTATACTACTATATTTCATTTGTTTTAAGACAAGACATACATTTATTGTTTCTGTAAATTTGATCACATTTCAAATCTTCTTATAGCAAATTTGTCTGACATTTCATATTATAAATACATTCAAAATTATATTTATTTAAACATTATTATTAATATCCAACCCAAAAGTAAATATAGTTACAAAGAAATATATTTCTATCGGGTGTTTTTTTTTTTTTTTTAATAAAATTTTGCCAAATTTTTTATTATTCATAAAAAAAAATTATCCTCTCAAATTCTCAAATGAAACATTTATTTTTATTTTCTATATTATATTAAAATTAATTTTATAATTCAAAATATTTTAGATTACGATGTTGTGTAACTTCAAAAGGTAGGGAATTGGTGACCTTTTAGGATATAGCAAAGAATGAAATTGAGATTGATGAGTTGCTGTGAGGAGGGTTTTGCAATTTTATCCGTGGAAAAATTGTAATAAATATTTTAGTGGATTATCCCATTTTGGGATCGTGGATGTAGGTATGTTGTGAGACCGAACCACGTTAGTTAAATTCTCGTGTCTTGTTATTTTGTTTTTATCTCTGTTCTCTTGTATGTTACCACTAAGTGGTATCAGAGCAAGGTCATTTTTGAGCGAGGGCTTGGCAAAGGAAGAAAGAAGGAGCAAGAGGTGTTTCGAGAGAAGTTGACGGCAGCAGTCACGTTGTAGTTCCGCAGCGGGTTCCGGCAACACACCGGATTTCTGCCAGAAAGGTCGGTATACCTGATTTGAGTTCCTAGCTTTAATTTTTAGCCTCAGTGTATTTGGTTGTTGGAAATGTTTGTTTATTGGAGAGTTATTAAGTACTGTGTCCACAATGAAATATGAGGTTCCACTTTTTGATGGAAAGAGTGATTTTACTTTGTGGCAAAACACAATTCAAGACTATTTAGTGCAACAAGGTCTTGATGTTGCCTTCGAAGATGCAAAGCCTGAAGGTATGAAAGAAGGTGATTAGAGTATGATTTGGAAAAATATTGTAAGCACGATTCGATTGGCACTCACCCCGCAGCTAAAGGTTACCGTGTTGACGAAAACATCGCCGAAGAGGTTGTGGGATACCTTGGAGAGTAAATTTGCCACGAAGGCGTTGACTAACCGTCTAATTATGAAGATTGATTTATACTCTTTGAAGATGGAGGAATGAGGTAATATAATTGACCATACTAACAAGTTTAATGAGCTAGTATGTCGACTGTTGAATGCAGGAGAAAAAATTAAAGAGGAAGAGCAAGCATTGCTCTTGTTAGCTTCATTGCCCAAATTCTATAAACTGTTGGTGCAATCAATGTTAGTTGGAAAAACTACATTGAAATTGAATGAGACGATAGAGAATGACAAGATAATGAAAAATGAAGACGCTTCAAAGGAAAGTCAACTACTAGCTGTGGGAAGTTCTGAAAGAGGGAATAAAATAAAGAGTGACCGTGGTGGAAGATCGAAATCTTGGCCGAGAGATTACAGCTCTGTTGAGTGTCATTATTGTGGAGAGTTTGAACACATTCAAAATCACTGTCGACTTTTTAAAGAAGACTTGAGAAGTTTGAGAAATTTGAAGGGTAAGTCGAAAGTTGAGAACTCCGCGAACATGGTCAATTATGAAGGTGATTTACTCCTTTTAAATACAAACTATGTTGAGAATTCTAATTGAGTGATGGATTCTACTGCGGATGTCCATATATGTAAAGATCAAGCTTTATTTGATATTTGCATACAAAGGGAGATTTTTACTATATCAATGTGGGGAATAAGACGAAGCAACAAATTGAAGGCATTGGAAGAGTTCGCTTGAAGCTCCACAATGGTAATGTCAAAACAATATTTAATGTGAGGTATGTGCCTACTATTGGAGCTAATGTTATTTTATTGGGCGAGTTGGTTTCACATGGGCATAGATACGTTGGCACTAAAAATCTATGTGACAACTTGATTATGCAAGGGAGAAGAAACAAAACAACATTTATTATCTAGATGGATGCGCCTTGCGAGCAAATGTGGAGATCATCAATGATAATCAGAAAATCGAGAAAAGAGTTCGTTTTTCTGACATAGTCGAAATATGTGAGATTATGGGAAGAGAGAGAATTTGTTGTATAACTTCTCATGTCCCACATCGGAAGTAGATATGACAACAAAAACATCTCCCAAAGACAAGACAAAAATATAAATGATTTGGCTCCTATAAATTGACCCATTTGGGTCCTATTTTAGGATACGACAACAAACCTTTTTCAATAGTAACTAGAGAGAGTGAAATTAAGATTGATGAGTTGTTGTGATGAGGGTTTTACAATTTTATCCGTGCAAAAATTGTAATAAATATTTTAGTGAATTATTCCGTTTTGGGATCGTAGATATAAATCTGTTGTGAAACCGAACCACATTAAATTCTTGTATCTTGTTATTTTATTTTTCTCTCTCTTCTCCCTTGTGTGTTCCCAACAGTACGACTATTTCAATTCAAAATTTTTACTACAAAAAATAAAAAATCTAAACTCCCAAACAAAACACACTTGTACTAAGAACATTGAAAAGTTAAACCAAACACAAAACAATCTCAACAAACCAAAGGATATTTATAGCCTCCATAACAAAATCTTTTGTCACAGTCAAAATCATTTATATTTCAGTATCTATCTAAACCTTTTCATTTCATCAACAAAAACATCTCCCAAAGACAAGACATAACAACAGATTAGTATTATGTAGGTAATATCCTAAGCAAATGAAGAGCTCTTGTCCAATGAGGTCTTTGAGAAAGCACAAGTTTCCTCAACACCGGCACGGCTCCAGCTGCAATAATCGCCGGGTGATTTTCGCTGTCCATGCTTAAATTATGAAGTATGGCCAAGCTGGCTTCGACTACCTGCTCATCACCGCTTTCCATAAGCTTCACCAGTGGAAATATGCCTCCTCCAGATGCGACAGCCCTGCTGTAATCGACTGACCCTTCGCTTATTATTCTGTTCAGCTCTAAAACAGCAGCGCCTGCTCGTTGTACTTCGCCCAAAAATGACGTGCTGTTCATTTGTTCTATCAATCTTGGTATGGTTTCGTAAAGAGTCACCTCCATGTTAACTGGATTCTCCTCGAAGAGCAGACCTTGATTGGATGATAGAGAGCTGAGTTTAACCAGGCAGGAAGCAACCCAGTTTTTGTTCTCAAGAGGGATGTCGGATACAAGGATTGTACGGAGCAACTTTGTAAAATGATGTGAATTCACAGATTCTTGGAACTTGTCGTGGTCGAGCAGTTTTGTGAGTAGCCGGGCTGCAGCAGATACTGCCAAGCCAGATTCTTCCAATTCCAGGATGTGTGATTCTGCTGTTTCATCCTCAATGCCATTCTGTGATCCTGCCATTCGATTGAAATGAATTAGTGATTCCGGATAGTGTATTATAGCTGTTAAAAATTCTTAACCAGAAATAAAAGGAAGAGAAATCTAAGTTGCTGCACAGATTCAAAATTGATGCTGCCATATTGCTCATACCTGTTAAAGATTTTTGCTGAAAAATTGCTTCCAAGGCGGATTCTATCCCTGCTGATGTAAGCTTTTCCACTGAAGAAGGCTCAATCACCACAATGAACTCGAGGATGGAACAAGTTTTCCGCTCCAGATCGGGGTTCGTCTTCAATATATCCACAAGGGAAGATAGGAAAGTAGAATCAATAAAGTTTTCTCCAGCAACAATATATGAGCTGTCAAAATTGTCATCATGTATGATTTCTGAGGATGAGTAAATATAATGCTAAAAGCGGATGAAAAAAAGTGAATATAAGAAATAGCAGATATGTACTAATATACAACTAACTAATACAGAGTAAGATGTTATACTCATATTCCAAAGGAAATATTTATTTCCGACTTCAAATGAAAGAAAATGCTGTGTTTGGAATATTTTGGATTTGAAAAAGAACAAAACAGAAAATAGGTTATTGATGTGCTGTTGCTGTTTTAGCCGGAAACAAATCATTTGGTAAATTGCAGAGTGCGAAAATGGGAACAAAAACATAAACCCCCCACTCACTGAAGGAACCATCTGATCTATAGAGATATTTTCATCTCAAGACACAAGGGTGGAATAACAAATTATCTTCTAATGATTCATGCTTTTATAAGGAAAGACACTTATCCCTAAAGAATTTCCGATAAGCATACAAAATATGATCTGAAGGACTTCTCATATATAGAAATATCAGTAACCATAGACTTTGTTTCATCCCACCAAATTGATTTGTGTTGCTAAATAACCTAATGAGCCTTAACCCAAGCAGACGTAGCCTCAATTCTTTACTCCCTTACAGATAATCATCATGCATATATTGGTAAAAACCCAAATAATTCATCTTGGTAAAGAGGTAGAGCTGACTATGCAACGGTTTATGCAGGCATGTTGAAGAATATATAGTTACATCCATTAGAAATCTCGAATCCTATATTAAGTGATGAAATTGGAGATCATCCTAGATAACTTAAACAGAGAGCAGGAAAAAAAACATCATGGAAAGAATGTTAACATCACAACTTAAACTGTAAGATTGAGTTCAAAGAAAGAAAACTATCAAAAAGTAATCAAAACACTCATGCACAATAAAAACAAGCCATTCCAATATACATCTCATGGTAACATTGAGATTTTGTTAAAGAATCAAATAGCAAATCCCATATTTGAACAGTCAAAACAGGTGAATTAGTTTAACATAAGACTAAGATATTCCACTGAGAACTCTCTAACATTTGTGCTCAAACAAGAACATACCTGGAAAGTGGATTTGATGAAATTGTCTCATTGTTATCCCACCCCATTCTTGAATCAGTTAAAGGTGTATTATAAAACTGACAAAAAAAAATAAATAAATTCAGATTCGCTGTAGCGTAAAAGGAAAAACAGCTGAAATATCAGAATTGGTCAGCATAGGCATTGTAGCTACAGACCTTTGATTTCATTTCTTTGTTAGGGTCCAGTATCCGAGAAAGGATGCTTATGATCTGCAGTTTGGCATGAAAGAATTTTAAAATCAAATAAAGCAATTATAATTGTTTCAGAAGTTAAATTAAAGAAACTACATTGAAGCACTACCATTGTGGTCAAGTCATGAGAAATCTGTTGTCTAGACTGTTTTAGCTCATTTATGAGAGGATGCAAAATGCCTTCTGCTTCGAGTGTCTGGCACACACTGTTGCTGCATTGTAACATAATTCCAATAATTGGGAATAGTCATAACATGAAAGAAAAAATCAATAAAAACTTCATATAAAACAACAGATTCATTCAAGAATTTGGAATGCAATCACAGCTTGAGCAGTTACAATATATATGGTAAACACATGACATCTTGCTGACGAAAGAATGTAATAAATCCTCAGAATATGAGACAAGTATAGTGATGAACAAGTTAATCCAGAACCAAATTCAGGTTTAAGCAAACTAGTGCAGGTAAAATAAATATGAGCACCCATATATCAGACATGAATGTGTAAAATGAATTTAATAGTCACAGCCACAACTATTTTTATTGCTTGCAACAATTTAAATTTTCCAATCCATATGAAAACATATTCAGAATGTACTGCATTTTTATATATATCGATTTGTAGTACCTGATGGACAGCTTCTCCAAAGCTCGAATGACAGCCAATTTAACCGTGTCATTAGGATGGTTAATTAGCTCAACAAGATTCTTGATGGCACCGGCTTCCTTAAACGCAATGCGCATGCGTTCAGTGATTGCTGCACCTGCAATTGTCTCTGCAGCCTTGGCAATAGCTGATTCATTTTCTAGTCCGAGGATTAAAACCAGTCGTGCAACTGCATCCGTCCAAGGTAAAAGTGTAGAGTTTTGACTGGAAGACCCTTCACTGTTAGATTTATTATCATCTTCAGTTTCTATTGCCCCTATTCGAGCAAGAAATTGCTGCTGTGTTCGCCCAACTACTGCTTTCGTCTTTGCCTCCTCCAAGTCAACATTTTTGTTGTCAACATTTAATCCAATTAGCAGTTCAGAAGCACCATACTTAGAAGGGCCATTTGGCCTCTGTTCAATCTTTGTACCATCAGGAAGTGAAGGCCATGAATATAAAGATGGTCTAAAAGACTTGTATGCTTCTGCACCAATCAAGGGAACCACAACTAGACCTTCCTCCAGGACAAGTATTCTGTTGTACTGGTCTTTAGCAAGCTCCAACAGTGCACTTCTTGCTGTTTTCTTAATGACCTTGGATTCTTTCGGATCCAGTGTCAACAATTTTGTCTGCATATTAGAATTAAATATTAGAGAGTGAATGGGGAATCATATAACCCTATTAGATTGAAACATGAAGTACAATGCCAAGCTAAAGGTGAATAAATTATTTGCAGAGATAATAATGTTCATTGAAAATTAAGAATCTTGTTCTTTTTCCATTAAAATTTATGAAACTATTTCTGATATAGGGATTTCTTTCAAATAATATAGAAAACAATCTCAAATTATAACGTAGTATGAGTTTATGGGCAAAGACTAGAAATTAACTAGAATAATAAACCTAAAGACAATTAATATTGCCATATATTCGTAATTTGAGCTAAAGATAGCTCTCCGATACTCTCTCAAGTTGAACCCATGTACAATTAAAAATGTTTTCCTTAAGAGAGATTACAAATCAAATTCACCAAAAGAACACCCATAACTTTGCTTAATGGTGAGATGCAGAATAAGCTTAACAAACAAACACACCACACATAGCAGTGAAGGCAAAGAAGAGTTATTAGCCTTTAGAAAACTTGTGCAGAGGGAACCATGCAAATGAACTAAAGTCAGGGAAACATAACTGCAGCCAAGTTTCTGAAGAGTCCGTTAGAAGTGGAAGATTCAAAAATAGGAGGGACAACATAAACCATGTGACGTAGCAGGGGACGCACAGAAGACTACAGATAATTGTGTGAAAAGTTGCCACAGACAAGAATCAAAAAGTCCACCAATGATGAAGATGAGCATATGTGCAAATCTTGAGGAGCCCCGTGGTCCAATATGTTAAAATAGGAGGAAAGGCATGTTTATACACACATGCACATGGGTGTGTACACACACACACACACACACACACATATATATATATATGAAGTTAATGACAGTAGTGGTTCCTAACAGATCAAACCCAAAATTGGATGAAATAATGCACAACAAAGAGAGACACCGACAGAGGCGCAGAGGCAAAGGAACACCAGCAAAAATGAGGAACACCAAGAGGATAGGCAAAACACCACTGGAAAGTGACCCAACAGGATGAGAAGCCTATAAGGGCAGATATTTGGTTACCTATTATAGGTAAAGAATATTATGAGTTTGTTCTTTTGTGTTTTCAACTTCTTTTTTCTTTTTTACTGGTCAATCTTTTATTTTCCTTCCAAAAATATTACATCAAACAACAATTTCCATCTCGAAATCCTAAATCGGATCAATACCCAACACATGGGTCATGACTCCAACACTATATTAAGAAGGGATTCGGGTTCTAACTTAAAACAATTGTATGAAGTGGAGTAGCCTTTCGGTCTTATATCTAAGAGGAAGTTCCTATAATTTTCCCATGTGGGACAACAATATTCAACAAATTTGATGACCCTTTTCACAAATCACTTTAGCAGAAAGGAAAATTAAGCCACACCAGGTACACTGTTAAACATTACTCTGAATCAAATACTGATGCATATCACTGTATTTAACTTATCCATTTAATCTTAAATAAAGAGCTTAGGAAAATTATTCAGAAAAATGACACAAAGGCTCAGTAGCATCGTGCAAAGGCCTAATAGCGTGAAGTGAAGCTCATCAGGGTTGAGCAAAGCCCTAATAGTGTCGAGAACTGTATCGAAGAAGAATTGTATTTATTTATTGATTAAAAAAATGTAGAAGCAATTCATAAATGTATTATACATCTATATGTTAGTTAACCTAACAATAAAAGAAAAGAAGAACTAATCAGATTCCACAGGATATCCTAATTAATACTCCCTTCGTCCCACGTAACTTCGACTTGCGTTATTATATGAGAATAGTTTAATTAAAATTAAAAAAAAATTATAAGATTTAAAATTAAAAATTAAAGTGTATAATTATATTTTTAAAAATAGAAAATATGAATAAATTATGTGGGATGGAGGGAATATAATATTACTGCAGTTGCATGGATACATAATACCGAATACATAACCACATAATTCTAGGTACACAACATTCCTTAAAGACAGTTAATTCAGTCACGATCCATGTTTTTCTAACACAATGATCCATATAATATATGAAACATGAAGTAGCCACCATTACATGATTATTATCAAACTCCTACGGGAACATAGATTTTAGTGAGAGCTTGAACTCCACAAAAAACTATTGGATATCTATATATATATATATATACAATTGCTCCCAGTAAAAGACAGCATGAGTGTAGAAACTCCCACTTTAAATAATCTTGATTTTAGATGTTCTTAAAATTTTCATTTACTCTTTAACCTCAAAAGATCTAAAGAATGGACCAGATTATAACTAGACTATTCTTCAGTTGTCTACAATCTAGTGTAATATCCTACAAAATGTATTCAAACATGCCCTAGTGGAACATCTTAAGTTCCTCATTGCAAATGTGATCCTAGATGGGTGCTTAAGACTGTCAGAAGCATGACACTAAATTGAATCATCACAACATGCCAGTATTATGTGGCAGATATTCAAAACAGACAAATGTAATATAAACGTGACGACGGTCACTCAATTTGAAATCTAAATTCCATTTGTAAGTTGAAATATCAGTGCCATTTTTGACATCTCTAATTTTCAAAATACACAGTTCGGAAGATATTAATCAGTCTTGTTAGTTAGTTTCTTAAGCAATCAAAAGCTGTATAGATCATGCATATCTGTTCCTGATTATATAGCACAGTTTTCTTAACATGGTGAAAAGAGTTCCTTCATTTTAAATTTTGCAGTAACAAGTGAAAGCGCAAGCAACAATAGAACAAGTACCAGATAAACCAAGAACAGATTATGTACAATTATAATGAGATAATAGCTATGTATTCAGACCAGACATGCTACTCTAGAGTCCAGACGTAAAGTTAACCAATTATACTACATAATAATCTATATCTTAGCAAAATGGTCTCTATATTATGAGATTGAGATACAGCAGCCTTGTGGCACTCACTGTAGTTTCTTGCGAATGATGTTAGTATAACAACCTCCTGAGTACTGATATACCTTAAAATACGATCATAATAAGCTCCCGTTGATGGTAGCCTATGCATTAACTAAATGATTCAAGAACCATGGTGATTTCACAGAAGCTAAGTGGGCCTCACCAACTTTGGAATCACTCCAGCTTCAACCATGACTTTGTGATTTGACTGGCTCAGTGTTAGATTTGCTAAAACTCCAGCTGCAGCCTCCTTGACTGCCATGTATTCATCGTCCAAGGACTTGATAATCAAAGGAAGGATCTCAGAGTTTGCGATCCTTGCAGTAACCTTCTCATCTACAGACAAATTCCACAGAGTGCATAAGGCCTGCTCCTTCACCTGCATAAATCAATTCAATCGTTTTTGAATGATTAACCTCAAGAGAAAGTGATAGACACCAAAATGGTAGTAGTAGCTTGCTGTTTTCTTCATTACTTCGTATGACAAGGAAGAGTGCCTCAACAGGCCAGTTATCTCTTCTATTGCAGCACTCCCAGCCACAATGTCCCTGTACAGATTAATCGAGGAGATAACCCTCAAAAGACCAGCAGCTGCTTCACAGGCGGAATCTGAACTCGATTTTAGAAGGTTCACAATGAGATTGACAGTTCCATGATACTTCATGATGTTGTCCACACAGTTCTTTCCACCAAGTGAGTACTTCCAAAGAGCAACAACAGCTTGCTCTCTGTCCTGAGTATCATTGTCCAACCCGAGCAATCGAATAAACAATGACACATAACTATCTTGTGAGCTAGATGAGTTGTCTCGCAATCCCTGAATATCCTGCAATTCAATTGTCAGCAAAAGTAGACAAAATAATACCAAAAGGATAAAATCTCAGAGCCATTCAGCACTCTAAAGCATATCAAACATAACCGATTTTCTCAACAGGAAGCCTTATATTTGAAACCTTACAGATAGAACTTAAAATGGAGCAACTTATAGAAGCTAAAACAGCGCAAAAAGACCAATCCCTAAAAGTATGGTGCGCCTCAGAAAAAAGTTTCAAATTCAAACCATGAACTTTGCTATCACAGTAGCTTTCAAAACCAGATTGATTTTCAATTCATAAAGTTCTTACCGGAGATTGTTTTTGGGCAGCAAAAGATTCAACCTGACCATCGTCGCTGCAAACCCTTGCCAGCAAAGAAATATTACGCCGACATAGCAACGAGCAGATACCCCTGCGAAGACCGCAGTGGTGAGAAATTGAGCTTCGAGTGACAAAAGTACTCCGACGAACTTGGATATCACTCTTCCTCTTCTTCAGCGAAGCATGAATCGAACTGAGGAATCCGGCGCTTGGATTTGGGTTAAGGGAGAAGGAAATTGGAGGGTTGGGAGGAGTAAATGGTGAGGAAGGTGATTTGAGCTGGGTAGTAGTAGGAAGGTTGCAGGGAACAAGATTGGTGGCTGCTGCCATGGCTGCATAAGTGCTTTAGAGCTCAGCTCTATATCTATTACCGGCCCCAAAATCTTCTTCTACTACTATTTATATTAATGGCCAACATAAATTAATTATATTAACATTTCCTTTCGTAGGGACGTATTGATAAACTTCCCCCGGACGGGAATTGAACTACTATTTAATAATAATTAATTATAATATTATTATATTATTTTTTTATATTTAATAATATTTATATTTTAAAAATAAATTTAATATATATAATTAAAAAAATTAAAATATATGTTTAAATATTTAAAAAATATATAAAAATTAAAAAATATATTCAATATAAATATGAGAATAAAATTTTATAATTAACATAAATCAATTTTATAAAAGATGTGTAATTTTAAATATATATAAAAATATTTATTTTTTTAAGGAGAAATAGGTAGAAATAAAAGGGGTTTTAGGTGGATCCTACGTAATTCATGTTGTATAGTTAATTAAGTTAGATTTATATTTGTTAAATATGTTTTGATTTAATAATTTATCAAAAATAAAAAAATATCAATTGTTATCGGACAGACAAAAATAAAAATAGTGTCCCTTGTAATGTAATGGGACGGAAGAGTACTTTTTTCCGCCATTTTTAAAGGTGTAATGAGTTTTTTTTTAATAGCTTAAGAAATATAATAGTAATATTTTATTGATTAGCGAAACTGTTTAAAAAAAAAAATTGATATTTTTGTTATTATTTGTAATTTAAGTAAAAGTTACTTAAAATAATAAAACATTTAATTTAAACTGGGACAAAAGAAGTATTTAAATTTAGGGTGTGTTCTTTTTGGGCAGGTTTGGTAAAATTGAATTTGGATTTGAATTGAATTTTAAATTGTGTTGTTTTTATTTGTTTGTGAGTTTGGTTTTAAGTTTGGAGATTTTTACGTGTATTGATTTGATAGGTAAAAAATACAATGATATATATATGTATATTAAATTAAATTTATAGAATTAGTAACAATGTAATTTGTGTATTAAAATGTGTTATTTATAAATAAATTATTTTATATATTTATATTATATAAAAAAAATTTCTCTATACAAATAACATACTTCCCCCTTCACAAAATAATATGGACATTTGAGATTGATATGACAATTATAGAAAAATATCATATGGATAGTGGGTGTAAAGTATTTTTAAAAGACCAAAATGTCTATATCTTATATAATTATTGTGAAAAAATAGGGATAGTTTTGTAAAAAAAGTAGAGAGTTTGTTATCAAAATGAAAATGAGAGTATTGTTATAGGACAAACGAAAATGACAAAATGAGACTATTGTTTTTAAACATAGGGAGTATATATTATATACTATATTTTAGGGTAAACTATTTTTTAGTTTTGTATTTGACTATCTTTATCATTTTACGACTTTAGGTGAAACTTGTCTAAAAATAGTTCCATAAATAAAAAATTTTCGCTAAAATGGTCCTCCGGTGCCGGACTCGCCACACTGGTCAACTGTTGCTAACGTGACGCTGACTTGGCTGACATGTCATCGTCACATAGATGCCACATTGCATGACTATTTTAAGAGATGGTCCATTTAAATGTCCTAAAAAATGATAAAGAAGGTCATGACTAAAAAATTGTTTATCAAGACATATTGTAAAATAAAAAAAAAATTCCATGTATCGCTGACGTGGCATCTACGTGTCGATGACATGTTCGCTGCGTCAACGCCACATCAGCAACAGCTGGTCAGCATGGCGAGTCCGACACCGAAGAACCATTTTAGCGAAAATATTTTACTTACAGGTGTATTTTCAAATATAGTCCACTTAAAATTCTAAAATCATAAAAGGGGTCAGATACAGACTAATAAACAGTTTACCATATATTTTATTAAATTATTATTATTAGAATAATCAAATAATTATTTTACTATTATTTTGCAATGTCGTGCAAAGTTGTCCGTAAATTATATTTTCAAAATTTTACGGAAAAAAAAAAAAAAAAATCAGCATGCAACGACCTATGTACTAAGCCACATGGTACTGTCCTCTACCCATTTAGTTTGGCGTCCAACCTTCATCCAAATAATACGCCGTTAAAAGCCCCAAATCTAAAATAAAGAACACACTTTAATCAATCAATCAAGTTACACGCTCTACTTATTTATATTTTATATGTATTTATTTGATTATATCAATTGTTAATTATTTTTATCCTCAATTATTTTTTGTCATTTTTGTAATTTTTTATTTACCTTGTTGTCCTACATAAATCAAAACCTTTCAAATCAATTTACTTATTGTTCTAAACAAATAAAAACTTTTCAAATCAATTTACTAGTTGAAGTCAGTGCTAGCATGTTTGTTTCTCATTGATGGACAAAGAACATAAATTTTTCTATTTTCACCGACAACAATGACACAAAATAGAAATTACAAGTACCAAAGTTTGAAAATTTTCTCCTCAATCGATTTATCTATCAATTTTTAATGACAAACTATGATGATTCTTCTCTAACCGTCATGTGGACACCAATTTCAGTTTAAACAACCATGATTACGGTTGTGTACAAACATCACACGTCGAAGTCAAACCATATCTAAGTGACTTCCAATATTGATTTTGATTTGATATCTAGTTAAACAAAAATTATTTTAATTTTGACGGTATTAATTGTGTTTGGTTTTTTTTTTTTTTTATGTAAGTTGAGAAATTGCCGTAATTTTTAAAGATTCATTATATATTTTTGTTAATAAATTACAATTTTAAAAATTCATTTTATATGTATATATGAATTCAAATATTTATTTATTTCTTCAAAGTCTTTCAAAATCAATATCTTAATTTGTTCAATTTCATTGAAAAAATTGTTTATGTTTGTGGCTTATACTTAAAAAGTAGATATTTGTAGGAGAACAACGAAAAATGATGTTCTTTTCTTATTTTTTAAATAAAGTCTTTACTTTTGCTTGATTTCGGATTGAAGTTATCTATGAATTGTGATCCTTTTACATTTTAAGTGTTACTTTTATACATAAATTTTAGTAGTATATACTTTTTTTCTTTAATCATTTTACTTTTGTGTTACTTTTATTTTTTCAGTATAATACAATTATATGTTGTATAAAATATGTTAAGATCCTTATTTCTAAAGTTTCTTATTGATATGTATGCTTAATTTTTTTTATTAGTTGATATAATATTTTTTGGTGCTCTACTATTTTCTTTTGAAAAGAATTGGATTCTTTGTAAGAGATTGTGAAAAAAGTGTACTTTATTGTCATCCATCAAATCTTATTTAAGTACTTATTGGACAAACCAAAGTACACTATTTCGTGGGATCATGTTGAGGTCTTAGTAGCTTGATTTGACCGGTCGACATATTCAGTAAGAATATCATTGTATCATTTTCATCCGAAAAGTTTGCAGTCACTATGAGACTTCATTTTAGAGGTCTATATGAAGTTGATAACATCATATCAACGTTTAAACTACTTACAACCTTGTTTAATAGAAAGGTGATTAATGTCAAATACAAAAATTATTGTTGAACATACGAGGAGTGTTTTGAAAGAAGAAAGCAGTGAAGTAAATATTCAAATATCTGTTTATTTGTTTATTTTGATTGCGTTTCTTGTATTTTATTTTCAACTGAAAGTTACTTAGTTCTTCCATTTTTGCTCTGGCATGTTAATAATTTGAATTATATTGAAAAGTACTTGCGGTAGAGTTGCATATGATTTATAAGTTAAGTCAATGACAAATTTCATATTCCGAAAAGGAATCTACTTGGATGATAGCATAGTTAGGGTAATGGTATATATTATATTTGTTATATCATTGTATGGATTTATTATTTAAAATTTTCAATTATGTAATTTAAAATTGATATTGTAAAGACGAGCTTACAAGAAAAGTCCCTCTCAATTGAGGCCATGTGATGTACCGATTGTTCTCTAATTCATGAGGTCATTCGAAACAAAACATATTGAGAATGATAAAAGAAGTTTGAATCTACATTGAGATAAATGGAGGAGTCCTGATTAGATAGAACATTGCAACTTGTCCAAGAGATAATATTGAAATTTTATTTAATGTATATTGTAATATTCTAATATGTATAATTTTTTATGGTATTTTATGAGAAATACATGAGATTAAAAAGAAAAAAAAAAGTAATTTATCAAAAAGTTACGCATAATCCTGTGTAAGTTTGATGAGGTATGTTGTTATTGTAGTGATTTGATTGAGGAAAATAAATGAGTGGGTTGAAAAATATTTAATGGGTAAAAACAAAATTTTTTAGACATGACGATACAAAGGAAATGTCTATCAATAAAGTGGAAGTTGTTGAATATAAAAATGCAAAGAAATGACTATTAATAAAGTGAATGTTGTTGATGATGGTACCTATAACAAAGTACCTAATGAAAAATATTAATAGGGATGAGGATGTCGTGAAAGCTTCTTGATAAAAGAAGATAATTAAAATGACTGAGAAAAGTAAAAGTGATGAGAATTTGATTGGAAATGACTTTGTAATATACACAACTTAGAACACCTGATATTGTCTATTATTCAAGATGTGCAAGGTCGGAAAAAAAAATAGTTTATTTATGATTCCACCTACCTCTGTTTTACCAAATCAAACAATAAAAAAACAAGAATAAATCAATTTCCCTCCCTATTGTGGTAATTATGAATAATTATTTAATTATTTTTTCCTTTACATGTAGATAAGATATTGATGTATTAATTTATTTTAAAACTATCAATAGTGTAGTTAGTGGAAATGACAAGAATAAAATGAAACATTCTTCTAATGCACGTACATTTACTATAATTTTGTATCACAAATGATGAGCAACATGAATGGTGCTAAGGAATTAAAATTGAATTCATTTTTGTAATACAACAATCTTAAAGATGGACTAATTGTATAAACCTTATTTTCTCAAAATCAATACCATACTTCTAAGAATTCAATACTCCACCAAGGAAAAATCTACTCCTTAGGGTTGGATAGGCACAACTTGACAAGTGTGCACATTATTTTTATTTTTCTGGAAAGCAA